AATGCTGGATTTGCGCCTGATGAGGTAAAGAGGAAAAGCTGACATTCAAACTGTGCTGCTCTGACCTAGCGGTTTGCTTGATATTGCTTACACTAGATCTCTGTCTCCGTCACACACACTAGGCCGGCTTTTACTGTCGCCACTAACCTTGCTCTACCGCTTTTGACGATGCACTTCCTGCCTATAGCCAGCTACACGTTTCTCCGCTCGCCTCGGCAGTTGGTTTGTCTGTTCGAGTGTTTTCTCATGCGTATAAAAAGACACCGATACCACTTTGGTCTGTCGTGCTGCATATCGCGGCTTCTCAGTAAGGTTCATCCCGATTTTCAACAATTTGTCTGCAAGAGGTAAAATTAACGTGTTTGGAGCTCGATCACGAGCTGGCGCGGCCTCCAGGCGAGTCTGGGAATATGTCAATCGTACTAACGCTATAACAACCCAATGCCTGGACGGGATAACTTAGGTACTCGAAGTCCAACGCCGCCGGCCTGATGACGGGGCACCCCAGCGCTCACCCAACTCGCAGAGCACACTCTTATTTGGAATGGAGTCGTCTTTTACCATCTCTCAGCTTCATCGGTATCCGCCTACTTTTCCCGACCATTGCGTCCTCCAGTCTCTCAAACAACAAGCTTTCGCGTCAACAAAGTGTCGTCTTGCCGCACCACTTAGCAAAGCTTGGACCGAATCATCACCGAAAGCCGGCATACTTGGTGGCAATGTGCAGCTCTTGACGTCTCCCACATCTCAGTTTTGGGACCACGAGCTCGCGGTAACCGAACATCTGTGATGAAAATGCTATCGCGACGCCAAGTTATGGTACCAAAAGTGGCCAAGCGACGGCAACTGCACGTACCAGAAATGTGAGGGACCCTGGGAATCCAGAAGTATCTCTTTTGGGAATTTCCCCGCGCCCAAGCAGTCTGGGTCCGTCTCGTTAGTATTGAAAGTGCTCCCCTCAAAAAGTTACCACTGCTCCATTGGATCGAGCAACGTACTAACTATCAAGTCCCAAGCATGTCGCCGCGGGTCTCAGCAAATGTGTTGGCCCAAAACTCGAGGACACCGGGCAGTTCGTCACAGTTTGGGGAACAATATTGGCAGTTGCAGCGACCGCCACTATCACAATGCTCTGGAAACACCGAGAGAACAAAGCTTTTCACAACGCGGCTATCTTGTTGGTAGCCCGTGTAGCCGCCATCTGGAACGGATCAGCTTCAACTCCGGGTGCTCATCGAACGTCTCCATTGCCGGGCAGAAATAACCGTCCGCGCAACTTTTTGCATGGAACGACATCTTTGTAACGGAACCGAGAGAGCCGTTCGGCTATGATAGACAGGTTGCTATCCATACGTAACTAACTCCTGGACCCTCCAGCGTCGTTATTGTGGTTAACTACTAGCAAAGCTCCAGCACTAAACAGTAATTTAGACAATCTGTTTTCTCTCTCTTACGATTGACATTTTTCGTTGTGCTCATCCTCTTGATTCTCCTAGTTGGCCTTTTTTGTCTTAATACCAGCGAGGCATCGTCTTATAAATCCAGTGGTGATGAAACTTGCGCCGGATGAGCTCATAATCTATTGCAACACCACTGCACCAAGGTAATCAAAACCATCTGGTCGTGTGTCAATCGTTATTCCACAGCTAGCGCAGGTATACATACCGGAGCTTCTTGTTGTTGTGCCGTGGATTGCAATTGCATGTCTTGCAACCGCGTAGAGAATGGTTATGAATAATTAGCAGATCTGTCAAAAAATTGCAATCTACAAGTACTATCCCCCTTTGTACAAGCAAAGTAGACGGCACGTAGCAGCTACACTTTTGCTCTCACCCTCTACCTTGCGTGTTGTACAAGGCATCTAGTCTTGCTACTCGATCTGCCCCTTCTCTTAGTTCAGGACAACAAGATTGCCAAGTAGTGGCAGTAATTTATGCCTTGTCTCTTTCGACGTGTGTGTAATCGTCACAATAAAGTACTCGTATGATGATGCAATGCCGACATTAAGGTAATTTTGCGGTGCCTCGCCCTGAATTTTGCACTAATTGGGCCTCGCATGAGTGCATTTGGTTTCCCCATTCGCCTGTTGCAATGACTTCGAGACAAATGAGATTGCTTTGCTGCACTTCATTTTGTGAGTAATACACATCCTAGAAGGCTACGTTATACGAAAGTGACAAGCTTCTGCTGGACTCGTGTTCACACACTTGCTGGTGGTCTTTTTCTGGATACTGTTCTAACAGGCGAAATGTTTTAGGACTCGAGCCTTGGTAGAGCGTTTAAGCAAAATTCCGCAAGTATGGTTTCCATTTCGCTAGTTGTTGATAATTATCCCCAATGCCAATTTTAGTGTCTTCAATGAAATTGATTCTCAATCGCAATGAGAAGACTTCTCACTTGACGTCCGAATTGCGATGTGATGCCTCTTGCAGATACGGAGAGCAATGAGTGGCAGAAGACTTGCTCAACTTTTTGCGTGGGTCAACTGAAGACAGACAGTACACTCAAGAGGAAATTATCGAAAATACATTGTCTTCTGCGAGATTTATGGCGCGCCGCTTTGCTCATTCTTCCATCTCCACATCTTCCTTTCCTACCGTCTTGGCCACAACATTTTCGTCTTCATTACTTCCACTCTCCTCGTCAAGCTCCGGCTGCCCATTAGCGATAGAGGCCTTGAGTTCAGCGATAGTTTCTACAACGCTTTCAAGCTGGTCTTGCAGATAGAATGCGTCACGCAGCTCCTTCTTAAGTTTATTAAGCATCGTCTGACACTTCTCAAAAAATTCGAGCGCACTTGACAAATCATCCATCGCACGATAGCATGTCCCAACAAGAAACCAGAGCTCTGCGTTCTCGTCATCTTCTTGCATCACTCCTTCCAGCACGTCGCACGCTTGTTCGTACCTTTCCACCTCAATGAGCATTTTGCCCGTCGCCGTGCGGAACTCTAGTGACGGCAGAAATTCCTCGGTACAATTTTCGTTGAGACGGCGATAAGTCTCCTCCAGTAGCTCATCCGCCGCCTCCTTGTTCTGCTGCACTAGTCGCAAGTTGGCCAGAGCTTGCGTCGGCTCCGGCAAACCGATGTCGAACGTCATGGCCTCCTGAAAATACTTCTCACACTGTGTCTCTGCCTCCTCATGGTCACACAAGTCCGTCATGTAGAGCTCGCCTAGTGAACACAAGGCGTCGCAGATCTGCTTCTTAATAATGAGCGCCTCCGGCGTGGTGGGATCCCTATGTTGCTGCAGTTCCTGTTGCAGGTAAGTGATGCCCTGTATCGTGTAGTGCTCAGCCTCCTCGCCTGCAACCAACTGTGAAAGGTAGAAATACTTGGCTGGGTTCTGTGCCGGGGCCAGTGACAAACTCTGCTGAAAAGCGGATAGTGCCCGCTCGGGGTTGTCCAGCTCCGTGCTCAGCTCTCCGATCGAGTCTAGCAGCGATGTGTTGGCTGGTTCTTGTAGCAATGCTTTCTCATAAAATTGAGCGGCTAACTCTGGCTGACATTGGTCCACTAGCGCTTCCGCTTTGGCTACCAATTCGGCCACCGAGTATTTTGCATTGCCCCGAGCCATGGCTACAAGCTGATTGACAATGTCTACCAGTAGCTCAAGAGATGTTTGGTACCAGATAGTCGGTACAATGGTGGCAATTTTAGCCTACTTTTGAATACGTAATTGACAAATGAAGCATACTTTAGAAACTTGGTAACAAGAAAATGAACAACTTATCTATCTCGCCTCGTAGCATACTTGTCACGACGGCGTTTTCGTTGCTGCTCCTGTAGACGCTGACGCTGTTGTTGCGATGACACTGATGTTCGTGGATGTTGATGTATTCTGCTTGGATTGGATTTGTGCTCCTCAGTTGAGTTTTCGTCGTATAAAACGATGGGTGTTGTCCCTCTTCGACGACGACTCCGATCTGAAATATCATCCAGAACACCACGCTCACGCCAAGCACTATCGTCACGACGACCAACATGGATACGGCTACGACCTTGGACATGCCCGCTATTTCCACGCGCGCTACCGCCACGCACGCTACCGTCACGCACACTATTTCCACGCACGCTACCATCACGTCCGGAATCTTCACGCACAGTATTGCCATACCCAGCATGATTACGCCCAGTATTTCCGCGCTGATCAAGCTCAACATCACCTTGCCCATCATTTCTACGGTGGCCTCGACGACTGGACGGACGAGCGTCAACTGTGTATCGGTGATGCATTGCAGCCGTGCTGTTGTCCAACAGGATCGCAGTACCGTTGAGCGAGTTCCTTATCCCGCTCATGTTGGGTGAGTACTGGTATTGGCCTTCCAGCCAAAGGTTCGGCGACATGTCCGTGTCGAGCAAGCTGAGTTGCGGGACTGGCTGGTGGGGAAGCGAGCCCACGATGAAAGGCTGGTCCGAGTTGCTCTGATCTTCGGAGTATGCTCGTCGTCGATTCCTTCGACTGTAAACCACTACTGCAAGTACTGACACGATAGCAACGAGTGCCAGGGCCGTGCCAACAACCACGAGTATGACCGAGCTTGATCCTGTACGTATTAAACCCTTGCTTTCCCTACTAGCATTGTCGTCGCTGGACTCCGTCGGCAATGTGTTCACTGGATTAGTTGAATCGCTCCCTGACATCCAGTCGCTGCCGCTAAACGAGGAATTTGTAGCGTCCGATGCATTCTGCCCTGCGGGGATGATTAAAATCTCCCCACTAGGACCAGATTCTTTGTAGATAATATGCACGGTGGAATCATTCGGAAGAATGTTCGACCAGCCCATGTCGTTGTTCACCTTGACGTGCCCAATGCTGTTGGAATCGACATAGTTAGTTGCGTTCGAAAGTACTGACATGTTCACAGTCGTAGGCGCGTCTGAAGCAGTGGTGGTATTGCCATTGGTGACTTCCTGTGTTTGGCGTAAGATGCGCAAAGCTTTAGCTTCCTGCTCAATCGTCATGACCAAAGTATCGTGCAATGGCGCGAAAGTTGGTCGACCTACCACTTCCAGCGGTACACTTCGAAAGCTCTTTACTATCGGGGAGACACCAACCACCAAGTAGAGGCAGTTCGTTCGAATTTGAAATTCCTTACGATGTGATCCGATCGGGAATACAAAACCGCAAGTCGTTGTTTCTGTAGGTACGTACAACAAGCAGTGGTTCCGTCTGTAGCATTCCCAGATGTCGGAAAAAGCTAGTACATTGCGATCTGATCGTGAGCATCAAAACCAAAATACCGGTTATAACTCCGGTACATTTGTTTGAAATAGTGCTTTCTTTTCATGCAATTCAATCGAAATTCTAAAACTTGAATTATTTGCGGAAAAAAGAGCATGGAGGAGTATTTTGACTTGGTAAGAATCACAGTTTCGATGGCTCATTTTATAAAAAGCAGGCATATTGGTATAGTGTTGTGGTCCACATGCTATCCCCAATGATTGAACTGCGATCGGTTCGCAGTGCATAGGACTTATCCCATTTCCTTCCTTTTTTGACCAATTATATCATACCTATAAAAACATCACCTTTCTAGCTATAAAATCAAATATCTCGGACGCATCTTTATAAATATTATTATCAATTCAAATGCGGCGTACGACACTCGGTCCCGCGTCGTCGTCGCAGCTTAATGCACGTCCATCAGCTCTACGGCATCCGTCTACACGGGTGTCTGTTCCTAGTAAGAGTATTAATAAGAGTATAGATCGTCAATCGTTTGGGGCTGTCCCTCATCGTCGGGTCTCCACAGCCGTCTCTGGTCACACTATGCGACGACCCCCTACAGGCCCACGGGTATCTATTAACTCACGCAAATCCGCAGGTAGCTCCACAACTACTCGTCGAAGTAGTTCGTATAGAGCACGGGCGTCGATGTCTAGCCGCGGTGGTGCACGCGTTTTAGACCCTCGGCCCGTCACCGACCGCTCGTACCTGAATAATTGTGTCCGCATGCTGGTTGAGTTTCTAAACGATCGTATGTACGATCAGATACTTACTCCAGGGCTGTTAAAGCGTGGTCCATCGAAGAAAGATTTCTGTAATATGATTCTATTCCTGTTTAAACAGGTGGACCCGACTTTTGAATTTGGTGCCAAGTTTGAAGAGGACGTCGTGCTACAGTTTCGGAATTTACGGTATCCTTTTCCGATTAGCAAGACGTCGCTAGCAGCAGTGGGCACGCCTCACACGTGGCCTACACTGCTGCTGTCTATTTCGTGGCTGATTGAATTGCTCACTGTATGTGGCCTTTAGCTGCTGCTGTTGCTGCTACTCTTTGGGTGCTTATATTGGTTGTTGCCTGTTGTTGTGTATTTTTAGTATGATGAGACTATGCAGGAGGCTAACGAGACAGAGCTGAATGATGCGACCGACGAGGAAAACGGAAACAAACAGTTTTTTTAGGTATTTGGATGCTTCGTATCGCGTCTTTTTAGCCGGTGAAGATGACAAATTTGCAGCGTTAGAGAAACAGGAGAAGGAGAAATTGAGTACGAATTTGTACCCTATTACAGCTAGTTGGCTGAGAGATACTGGTGGACTGACGTGGCTGTTGCAGTCAAGCGAAATGAGACGGTCAAGCAGGAGACGAGTCAGTTGGAAGTGCAGCGCGAAGAGCTTCGAAAACGAATTGACCAGGCCAAAGCAGATAAGGTTGTTCACTGAGCATTTATATCAGCTGTAAATACTTCTGGAAAGACTGTTTGGTTAGTTGACGGTACAATGTCATTGATGTATGTTTAGAATGCCCTTTCGGAGCTTAAACAAAAGAAAGCTGATTGTCAGAGCGATCTTGTTAAATTCAAGGAGTTAGTTGGCCGATATGAGACACTTAATGCCAAACTTGACAAGAAGGTGGAGGCTCTTGCTGAAGTTCAACAATCATTGGGTACGTCGCTGTCACTACTTATCAAGATTACCGCTAGCTCGCTGTGTTTTATTTACTGTATGTTGTGTTTACAGAGAACGATCTCCGTGCCCGTCAGGAAGAAATTCAGAAGCTACACACTCGTATCGAGAATCAGGAACTGTCTGCACACGACATCGAGCAAATAGCTCTAGAAAGGGCGCGACTGACGGATCAGCTTCATCATAATCTTGCTCGTCAAGATGAGCTTCAAACACAAATCAAAAATGATGAAAACCGTGCCGCTAATATTCGGGACAGTGTACGTACCATTGTACTTAAGTAGTACTACTATCTATAGAGGCCTCTGTATTCTGACACTTGTATCCCTTCTCATGTTGTACAATGTGTTTGCAGCTCGACAATCAGATCCACGAGTACAGGAACACTTGCAAACGGCTGAAGATCATTCCTGCAACCGCAAAACACGCTCACAATTTTGATTACACGCTCGAATTGGATCCCGAGCTTGAAGAACTTGAAGCAGTATTGAGGTTATCGCACCATTTGAAGACAAACGTTCGGCAAGCAGCATCAAAACTCAAGCAAAACCGTAACGCGCGCGCCAACGAGCGTCTGGACTTAGCACTTGTGCTCACTGAAGAATTGGAGCAAAGTGAGAATCAGCTGAGCATCGAGAAACAAACTGAGAAGAGATGGGAATCCAAGGTGAAAAAAGTTTGCCGACCAGATGACCAGAGAGCGTGAAAAACGAGCCGAGAGTCTTAGTCGAAAGCAAGCGGCGATTGAAGAAGTTGAGATCAAGATCACGAATATCTCAAATGAAGACAGCTTAGTCGAGGAAGAGGCGATTAGCTCGCAGCAGCATCTGTTGGATGTCAAAAAGGCGTAAGTATTTGTTCTTCGTCTGATCAGCTCTGGCAACCAGCCATTAATGTGTTGTAAATGTTTCACAGATCGGTGGAAATGACGGAAAGCTATCAAGCGTTGCTTGACAAGAATCGGCATGCGATTACGAACGTTCTTATGGCATGTACGAACCACAAGGACATGGTCGATCGTGCCATTTCGTCCTTGGAATTTGAGCTTAGTAAGGTAGAGTTTTGATGTAAAGCACTGGAGACTATAGCCACATACGAATCCCTTTTTTGCCCTGCTTTAGCCTTCCGTCTTCCCTACGCAAAGAAAGACTTTGAACTGCAAGTAGGAGTAATGAAAAAGAAAATGAGTTATCATCAAACTCGCCACTTCTTTCCTTGAAAACTATTGGCAGCTTAACAAAGTTTAGTGCTCAACATAATAAAACTGGCAAGCCGCAGGTTTAGCATGTCCCGGCAGACAAGCCCTCCAATGTAGTCAATCGGTCCTGATTCAAGGTGTGCTGCCCATCGAGAGATGTCGTGCGCAAAACAAACTGATCGAAACGTTCCTGCAGTTTCTGCCGTTGAGCCATACGTCGTCGAACAAGACTTGAACGATTCTGCTTCCAAAAACGAATGTCGTCTTCAGGAATGCCATGATTCTCGTCATCCGTATCCACGTCCAACTCCGGCAAGGATGGTATAATTTGGTTCGATGCATTCCATCCCATAGACGATAGCAATTGCCATTCCGTACGCTCGTCCTGTGTCAAATCTCCACCCTGACACGGCTCGTCACAAATCGAGTCACACTGATGCGATCCCGTCGCATCCGTGGATCTACTGGAACTCGTGAGATCGTCGTCGTCACCTTGACTGCTAAGTGAATTGGTAGATGATTGAGATGCCACGGTCTTGCTGCTATCAGATTGCTTACGCGTTTTAGTCTGCTTAAGCTTTTGCTTCTCAGACTGATGACTTTTCTCTGATTCTGACCGATACGCTAGCTTCAGTTTTGATGCTGTTTTGCGCTTTTTCTTCTTTTCCTTTCGCTTCTCTTTCTTCTTCGCCAATCTCCTAGACTCGTCATCTTCTTCTGCTAATAGCTGTTCCATCATCTCCTCACCATGCAATGCTTCCACCGCCTCATCAAAGTTACGGCGCAGTGTAGACACAGCGCAATGCACCAGCAGTTCTTCTGACCGCTTCTTGGATCGAGACTTGGTCCATACGCTCTGCATTTTGTCCCAAATAACCATACCTAGACATATCAATACTTCATCCTGTGCTTCAGCGATTGTCCGTGCATGACGATCACCCCAATCACCTACAATTTTCTGATCTGCTCTGGACATCAACTGCGACATAAACTCAATATTACAGGGCACAATGATCTGGTTTGTAGCGCGAAAAAATGCAAGCTCGTCAAATAAGTAAGACGTATAGTGTAAATCATCGCCATAATCGCTATGTTCATGATGTTTCTCCACGCATTCAAAGCCCCCACAATCCTCGCAATCGTCCTCACTACAGCTCGACTCAATAAGCAAATCATATGCTTCTAATACTTTTTCCTTGCACCGGCAACAAAAACGATGACGTCGCAAATAGTTTTCCAAGTCGGTCAGGAACTGGTCTGAGTCAATATGAGAGAGATGTCGCTGGTGATCTTCCGGCAGCTTAAGCCACAGTGCCTCGAATGCCGCAGGACGCGGGCGACCACGCACCCGCTGCGAGTGCAGCTGACATCTTGCACGTGATGTACCAGCTTTACTGCTAGGTTTCGTTGGTTTCGTTAGCCCCTCATTAGTCCATTGCTCTTGGTGGTAGAAAAGCAAGAATGACGTGTCCGGACTATTCAAATACGATTCGTTGAGTCGGAAGCGATTGTCTTTATTAAAGCAAAGACCCGATTTACTGACAGCCTGTGGCAATCGAACGATGCCGTCTGCTAGCTTGTAAAATAGCGCTTCCGCATTCTTACGACAGCCAGGACACGGCAGCAGATCGGTTGCTGTCTGCAAAAACTGATTCACATCTCCGCTCAGTGCCGCTATGCGTTCACGATCTGTCAGCAGAAGCCACCGCTGCGACAATAACACCAGCACAAGTCCCCATATTGGTATTAGCTTCAGTTCTTCTCTTACTGTCGTCTCTCAATTGCCCATTGTGCTTGCTCACCTTGCGGAACTCGCGCGCTTCTGCAGCGCTGGGCTGACACCCGTGATTTGTATTAGGATCGTACGTGACCCTGCCAGTGTCATTGCGCTGTGTTATGCTCGTGCTTAGACTCGATTCGTGGTCGTATCCTGCCATGGCTATTAACCACGTTTCTAATCGGAAGATTACGCTACAATCATCAAATTTCAAAGTTAGTGTTATAGAAGCAATACAAACAATTGCATGCATAAGACAGAGAAGAGAACGTGCATTTATGAAGCTACACCTTAAGTGAAAATGAAGCTGTCAAGTCACGTCAACACCTTACGAACGAAAGGTCTTTGACACTCGTTATGCCGACGGCGTGTCTTGATTTGTTCTTTAGCCTATTATTGTCTTTTCAACCAATTGGAAAAGTTCATAGGTCATAAGATATACAAATGGAACAATCATGTAACATTTGAGCTACAAATAATGGCTTCAGCTTTATGCAATCCATATAAACTCTTAACTTCGTGAATGCCACTCCCCTCCTCCTATTGCTTCTGACGAGCTTGTAATGTCTCGGTAATATCACGAAGTCGAGCAATTTTTGCCTTTTGAGGTAAGCGACGAGCTTTTTTTTGGAAAATTGGGCAGGTCTCTCCAGTTGAAAAAATCCGGTACATGCTTTAGTTCCGGTACGTGTTTCATGGACGAGTGTTTCATGATAAAGTAGGGTAGTAGTGCCAAATGATCAAAATCATTTTCCATGTGCCACGTCAAGTTTCGTTGTAACATCACGTGTGACCGACGTAACACACGCATATCGTTGCTGCTTAGAAGGCGTTGCCGTGCCATTCGCTGCATTAAAGCTTCTGCTTTCTGTAACAATTTAACAATCGAGCAATAGCAAAAATAACTTACGATTGTGAAATTCAAGCAATAACGTATGAATACAAACCTTTGCACCTTGAAATGGCCTTGCTTTCAGTCCTATGACAGGGTCGAGCAGTTTCGAGCCAACAACAGGTGTCATCGCCTCCGTCTTGTTATTGATGTGGTACGGCTTAATCACCTTTGACACACGATTATTTACTCCGATTACCTTCCGGCAGTTCGGTGCTCCACAAAGACACTCCGTTATTTCCTGTACATACCAAAGGCAGCTGGTTAGCAATTACACATTCAAGAGCATCAGGTGCTGAGAACGTACGGCTTTGCTAAAGGACTCAAACTTGTAATCAAATGTCAGCTCCTCGCCTGCAGCAATATCACGCAGAGCAAAAATGGCGCATCGTTCTTCACCATTGACATCCCACTTCTCTACACCGCAGTTTGGATCACAGCTGTGGTTGATGAAACGCGCCCAACCTCCCATACGCGTAGCATCGATGACTTCACCGCCGCTTAACACCATTATATAGCGATGTTTCTCATTATGGTAAAGCTGTTGAAGCGTTTGCAGAAAACATGTTAGTGCAAACACAACAAGCACGATGCAAATAGTAAAGTACCCACCACTCGTCGCATGTGATACTCCTGCTCTGTCACGATCTCGCCCATGTATTCGCTTACAAAAGAACCAGCTTTGATATCTTCTAGCAACCTTATTCCAAGACCTTTGTTCCCGCAATCGATAAGCTTAGTTAAAGGCATGACACCACGCTGTATCCTCATATTATCGCACTGATCTCCACACTTGCAAAACCCTGCTATGCATTCCACCAAAGCCTGCCATCACGCGTACTGTATATATCAGTGAATGTTGTTGATCTGCTCTTACAACGCGAGTTCTTTAATACCACCCACCGCACGATTCAAGCAGCCATCAAGACATCCCATTTCATGCTCGTTCTTTGGTGGCTTACAAAAGCAAATGGACACCTCTTCCTAATAAAACAATCGTCCATTGAAGGGCGAGAAAATCATTCCAATTCAAATGCAAAATTGCAATTTGTCAGAATCATCCGAAAAAGACCAGAGCACAATGCTTTCAAGTGGCAATTGTAGACCCATCAAGTACCTCTGGTAATGAACGCTCCTTCCTCTGGACATAAACATTGTGCTTAATGATCTGTATCTCTGCCAGTGCCTCTTCAATTGAACGTGTCCCCGTCACGCGACTAGCACGAAATGCCTTAACCTGTTTTTTTCCCCTGGTATGCGGACGAGTCCAAATTAACATGCAATCAGCAAAATATGTTGTAGTAAATGCTACCATTACGCTAGTTTGTAAGCCATACATAACGATGATAAACGTACAGCGAGAGCACAGACATATCGCTACTTGTGTCGGGCGGGGCCTTTGCCTTCATATGATAAAAAGTGGTTCTAGGTTGAGGTGGTTGACACTATAGTTCGTTCAAATCACCCATTTACGATCCTGTGGCAATTCATCAAAAAGTACACCGTGAGCAAATTACCACCAAAAACTTAGTTGGACGGGAATACCGGTTTGCAGCTTGAGTATGTATGTATATGAACGCGTTACGCAAGCCGTATTTCTCTGTGTATTATGCATAATTTTGATTGGTTCATTAGTGGTTCTTATGCATGTTATCATGTTGTCGTTCGAGTACAAAAACGATCCTCTGACGCAAGGTCTCCCTCAGCAACCCAATATACCGGTACACCGGTTTTCAAACTAACCTATTAATATCGTATTTAATTGAAGACCGTCTATTCGCTGTCTTCCGTGAAAGAACCGAAGAATTGGAAGGACAAAGTTACCGTCACGTGGACGTAATAAGGGACTGACTGACTGATTGATTGATCAATTGACTGACTGACGTTAGCAGGAGGAACGTTGAAGGTGCTTACACAACGTCGGCCATGAAGAAAATGTCCCGTAAAAACTTTCGTGGTGGTCCTTTGTTCTCGACCAAGTCCAGTAGTTCTACGGCATCTCATAGTAACTCCTCATCTCCAGGCATGGGGGGAAGCAGTATACGTCGTGCGACGTGGGCTGATAAAATACGGGAAAAATTACCACCATTAGGTGAAAATGAATATGAAGTACTATGGGAACGAGGTGTACTGGGTGTTATCTTTCTAGAATCTGAAAAAGACGGGATTCCGTACGTGTCGAAAGCTACCGAGTCGTGTATCTCATCAGCTGTTAATCAGGGTGATATCCTCAAGTTTGTGAACGTTGTACGTTCAAAAGACCATTCGTTTTCCGACTTTTTCAAGATATTAGCTACGATGAAAAAGCCCGTATTATTACGGTTTGAGCGACTATCAGCCAGCACTCCGTCGTCAGATGACGAAGAGAATGCCCAGCTATTTGGTGTTCCTCGCTCTAGCTCAACGAATACAATGAATCCTTCTAGTCATTATGCAAGACAAAACGTTCCACATGGTGACGAAACAGACATGGCCGGCAAAATTCAGAGAGCCAACTCGGTACCGCAGAAAGACCAGAAACCACCTAAGGCAACACGAGGGGCATTTTGGCGTGCTGCAGGTGCCAAGGATTCGGTTAGTCCAGTTAATTCATCGCACTCGATTGGACCGAATGCGATGAATGGAGGAAGTGATCACATAGCCACGCCGCATGAGCAGCGCCGGCTGCCGAGCAATAAAGACCACCAGGTTTCGCCACGAGACGTCTCACCGGCGAACGGGTCTGGAGGCAATCTTTCACACTCACCTCTTGGACCACATGAGTATCAGGTGTATTGGGAAACTGGGCCGCTCGGTCTGTTTTTTTGGAGAAAACCGATCGACGAGTTTGCCAGTTGTCACAAGATCGACTCCAAGTGCGAATCCAGTGGTGCGATGTGCTGTTGCTGTCAATGATACGCTGGTGTCAGCCAATGGCATCAAGTCGGCGGAATACACGTTCGAGGCGTTTTTTGGCCGCCTTCAGCAGATGAATAAGCCCGTACGGCTGGTATTTAGGCGAAGACAATCAACTGATGCAGCTGTGACCATTAGTCAAGGAGAGTCTCAACAGCAGCAGCAGCAGCTTCAACCACGACAGCAGCAAATGCGTGAGCAGGAGCAGAAGCGTGAGCTGCATAGACTTCGTGATCAGCAGGAACGTGAACAGCAACAGTTAAGGGAACAAGAGCAGCTGCTTCGTGAACAGCAGCAGCAAGAACTATATGAACAACGACAGCAACAGATTCGCGAACAGAAGCAACGAGAGCAGCAAGTTCGTGAACAGAAACAGCGAGAACAGGAGTTGCGTGAGCAACAGCAACGTGAGCAGCAAATTTGCGATCAGAAACAGCGAGAACAGGAGCTGCGTGAACAGTTGCAACGTGAGCAACCGCAACGTGAGCAACTGCAACGTGAGCAACTGCAACGTGAGCAACTGCAACGTGAGCAACCGCAACGTGAGCAACAGCAAACTCGCGACCAGAAACAGCGACATCACCACGAAGGAGGGTCGCGTAGTCGCACATCATCTGGCACACAAGACGCGTCCCAGTCGTCATCAACATTACCGAATGAGAGTATTACGCATCACCGTAATCACACTTCTAGCCCAATTACTAAGCGTGCTTCTACTACGTCCCCTTGTGCATCTTCTCTTCAAGTCCAGTTGGAGTCCGATGGCCATCATCATGAGCACCGTCATGGGGATAAATGGCACGAACGTACGCCCCCCTCCTGGTTCCCCAGTAATGTCAAAAGATTCCGCGAACACAGGGCAACGTGATGTAGCAGAAAATGTCTCAGGTACTAATTATCAAATGTCGCCAAAAGTCAATACGTCTTCCATGGTACGGAGCTTGCCAAAATCTGGGAATTCTTCGCCTAGTGCATCGCCAAATATGGGCAGTTCTCCTAAGGTGAGCAGCTCGCCGTTGACTTCGCCTAGCTCGCCTTATGTTGCAACGGAAATCACCAACGACGCAAGCGATTTGGCGCCGCCATCCGCTATGGACGTCGCTGACGAAGCGCCTGTTGCAGACTTTGCCACTGAGGTGGAGAAAGGGGCTGTTGAATTATCAAAAGAGAGCCTTGGTAAGAACGTTTGTGGTAATCGAAGTCGCAATAGTAGTGAAGAGCAACGACGGAATCAAAAAGCAGCAACTACTGCGCATGAAGCGGAGCCAGTGTTGTCCCCGGTCAGCAGCTTAACACGTCTGTCACCGACGGAGCCCTGGGACTTACCCGAGTACATTCCATCGCCGAGGATTCTTAAGGTGGGGGCAATAGCCGTAGACAAGGATATTGATGCCGGTATGTCGTTGTTACCAAGCGCTGACATTGATTTGGAGGACGTCGTTATGGCTAAAAAAGCCAAGTTTGCTGTAGAAGCAGAACTTTTTGACGAAGTCGAGTTAACAGAGGTAGCAGAAGTGCCTGATAAAGCTGAATGCTCAGAAGCAGGATTACCTGAAGAAGACGGGTGTGGCGAAGAAGATGAGCTTGCCAATGAAGCAGAGTTTATATTGCCACCACTGCCTGTGGGATACTTAGCAGTCGATAGTGCCAATCTTGACGTGGAGGTAGGTATGCTCGCGGATATTGAAATGGGAATTGCTGTTGACGAGGCTGACTCGGAAGTTGCAGAGAGCAGTGTGTCAGGAAGTGACCAGAATACGAGCCCTTGGGATCTCGAACTTGAATCTGATGACTCGAAGATACATCATCACCACCGTAGTAGTGCTACTTCAGTGAGCGACGAATCTATGTCTTCAAGTGGCGGGAGCGCTTTGATTGATAACAACGTGGAAACCTCCAAGGTTGACTTTGCAGACGCGTCTGACCCATCGGATGAGTTCTCACACGATCCGGATATCTCTCGTGATATTGATAGCGTGGAGAGCGACATCATGATGCGGGAAGCTCCTAAAGACAAGATGGATTCAGCTAATGTACCGAAACCAAACAAATCACCGTTGCACGCCAATTTGGCTAAGTATAAGAAGAAGGGTAAAACTGGTCGTGGTGTTGTGAAGCTGCCGGCACTCAGTGAAGATGATGCTTTGACGGTTCCGCTTGTCGCTCCAAATGCTGTGAACACGACCATCCAAGTGCGTGGTCGACCAAAACCCAAGTTGACAATGGCAGACACTCCTGACAGTACGACGTTCTTAATTAAGTGGAAGGAAAATCGGAGCATTGGCTTGCAGCTGAAGGAGGTACGTCTTGCCAAGGGCACGTACCCGTTGGTGACGGACGTATGCCACGAGCCGTGTTGCGAGCTGCTGCGGCACATTTGCGTCGGCGACGTAATCGTTGAGATCAACGGTCGCAACACATCTACAATGGGGGTGAAGAAGACTGTCAATTTTCTTAAGACATGCACGAAGACGACTTTGATGAAGATTCGTCACGGACCGGCGTTTGTGAACCAGCGAGTGAGGGCAACGGTATGACGGGATCGTCCTGCAATGTATGATCAATTTTTCTGCTTGCGGGCGTCGCAAGCTGGACGTGGGAGGACCAGGACCCCTTTCGTCACAAGGCGTTTTCGCTTTTGCTACATTGTTTTTTTTTAATTTTTCCTCTGTGTCAGTGAAGTGCTCAATGTTGAAGAGGACGATTAGACATGATTTTGGCGTGCAGCGTTGAGTAGGTAGCGCTAGGCCGACAGGTCAACCCAAAACGTAGACCTGTCACGTTCAATAAACAAACATAAACATGCTTTCATTCGAACCTGTTTGACACCATGAAAGGCGCCATAAACAATGTTTCTGAGCGTTCACAATGCAAAGCACTAGCATTCATTCATGATTCTCCTTCGCTCGAGCGAGCGTAAGCGCGAAATTGTATTTTTTCAGTTAATGCATCCTTAACCGACACTGGTTGGTCACGAAAGCTTGACAGAGGCAGTATATGCGTTTTGTGCCGCTTCTGCTTACCGCACCTTAGGGATGGACAGTGGCCTGGCTTGCTGCATCTCTCGGACACCAGCACGCGAGATTAATGCAAGTTAGCAAGACGCGTCTTGATCTTACCGATAGCCTGAGCCGGGTTCAAACCCTTCGGACATGTGCGCGTGCAATTCATGATGGTGTGGCACTTGTACAACTTGAACGAATCGTCTAGCGCGCGCAAACGCTCTTCCGTCTTGTCGTCACGCGAGTCCTCAATCCAGCGGAATGCTTGCATCAAAACTGTTTTTTGAACATCAAGCAGCTATTAATTGGGTGCTTCCAGCCACACAATGAAACAGTAGTAACGTACCAGCAGGGCCTAGGTACTTGTCCGGATTCCACCAGTAGCTAGGGCATGAGGTGCTGCAACATGCGCATAGTATGCACTCGTACATACCGTCGAGTTTCTTGCGGTCCTCAATAGATTGCAGATGCTCATGGTTGACATCGCTGGGTTTATCCGAGTGCAGCCATGGCTTGATAGACGTGTACTGATCGTAAAAGTTGGTCATGTCTGGCACCAAATCGCGGATAACGAACATGTGCGGTAGCGGATGAATGTTGATCACATCTTTGTTCTTCTTAATGGGACTTAGACATGCCAATGTGTTACCACCATCGATATTCATGGCACATGAACCGCAAATTCCTTCACGACACGAGCTGCAGACACATTTACACGCCAAAATTCATCATTAGATAAAAACTCAACATCTCAATTCCAGCCACACGAATCATATCACAACATACCGACGAAACGTCAGTGTTGGGTCCTGTTCACTCTTAATCTTAATCAAAGCGTCCAGCACCATAGGACCACATCTACAAGACATATTTACAATATTTTTAGCATCAAAAACATCCAAACAGCAGCTCTCCCTCTCACATGCTACATACTCATCCAAATCCACAGGATATGTGCATTGATATGGTTTTTCCTTTGATTCAGGGTCCCAACGGTAGATTTTAAAATATTTAATGTTCTACATTTCATACAAATTTCACATCAATTTTAGTCCCATAGAAATAACACCAAAGCACGAGAGAGAAGAGAGAAAGAAGAAAATGTCTGTACATATCAATCACCTTAGGCTTCACTGCTTGTGATTTCAAATCGGGTTTATACGCTGGTACACTCAATGAACGCAATCCCGTACTTGTGACAGGCTTTTGAATCGAACGTATAGCTGCAAACATCTTTTCTCTCTCCTTCTTCTTCTACACACGTTACAATACTTGGTGGTATGAAAGCGTAACAGTTGGAAATTTTGAGACTGGAGGCTTGCGAGTCGTACGTTTTGTTTTTGTCTTTTAAAACGAATAACTGAAGCGTACTTAATGATATATCTACGTGTCTCAGAAGAACAAAACCTGTTAGATTGAAAAGACTGATATATTGACTATTTAAGTCCGTGGAATAGGTCTCGAAAATTCCGGAGGTCTACACAATACGATGTTACCACACCATTTTGCCTTCATCATTTTTGCACCACTTGATGAATTCTTAACCGACTTTGAGTAGCTTCTTTATCTTTATGCATGAGTTTACTACTGTCTTTACTATTCTTTTGTGCAATATCTGCATAAAATCGATGCATAAATCTTTCAAGATAATTGCTCTTGACAAACTAACGAGAACAATTGCAGTACTTGAAGCTTTAACAACCAATTTGTGGATACAACATCTGCAATGCATCTTATCAACGACTCTTTGTTGCTTTTGAATGGATAAAAGTAACGTTATCAAGTATCAAGGAAAAGAAAAAAAGAGGAAAATTGCAGGGTTTCTTACTGAATACTACTGTAATACGTGAGTCATGATACTTGCAGCTCAACAAAAGTGCAGCATTGTTGTTAATGGTTGTCTAATCCAAGTGATTGATTACGTTGAGCAACTTAAAGTTTACTTTGAGGTGTATTTATGCTGTCTTTTTTATGTCGTCTCAATTTTGCAAGTTCAGTGCTAAAATTAAAAATATGTCATGATTATAGACCAATTACAGCTCATGTCTAGCCAGTAGCCATGTCGAGGCTAATTCCAGCAGTTCAAATGAAGCCCGAAGTTTTGACCCGTCATCGCGCCACGCATTTGGCAGATCTTTACAACTCTTTACGACAGCTTGAGACATTTTCTGGTGAGGATGAGCGTATGCAGTGGTGTTGGCGGCTTCATCAATTACAACGGCAACAGGAACATGAACAGCAAGAAGATGTGCCAGAAGTGTGGACCGCTCATATCACTTCATTATTGACAGCTCTTGAGAATCAGATTTTATCGTTACCACTAGAGATTGAGGGTGATTTATCTCGGATACGAGCAGTATCAGCGTCTGCTGCTGCAGCAGTTGGTGATCTTTGTCGTATTAATGAAGAAAAGAACGAGGTGCGAGAATCAGATCTGATGTTGTCTCGTGGTGGGTCTTCCATTACTATGATGGAGAATGAAGTACTGGTTACGATGGAAGATACAGGACGCGACAGTTGGGATCAGATACCTAGACTTTTGCAAGCTGTTGCGGGGCAAACTTTGGGTACTTTGACTAGTATTCGAGATCGGGGGCGGTCATTGCCGCTATCAAGGATGAGAAGGAGTGAATTTGATGCAGCGGCGAGGAATGAGAAAGCTGTTGAAGACTTTTCTGTTGCCGTTGGGGCTTCTAGTCAGCGGTTGTCTATTAATGTCGAAGAGGAGCTAGTAGAGAGTGAGGATTTGGGTTTGTACAGGAGACAAGAGAGCAATAGTCTACGACGTTCTGTGCCTAGCTTGCTACGATCTATGGCAAGTTTACTTGGTCTTTCGATGGAGGAAACATTTTTGTGTCAAATCTGCTACGATTATGCACCGACGGACACGTCGTATGCACTTTCAATGTGTGGGCATACATTTTGTGAAACGTGCTTAACAAATTATCTGGAGTTTAAGGTTAAAGAGGGACAAGTGTATCCTAAATGTTTTTTTGAAAACTTGGAGGACAAGACGGCGTGTAAAGCTGAGATATTGGTAGATGACATTCGATCATTGATTTCGGAGGAGACTTGGCAGAAGTATAGCAAGTTCAAATTCAACAAAGAGCATGAGCTCGCCCGTCAATGCCCGTACTGCGGCCACTCGCAGTTATGTGCCGGAAGCGATCATCCAGAGTGCAAATGTGAAGCGTGCAATGGTGATTTCTGCTTTGTGCACAGTAGTGCTCATCAAGGTCGCACTTGTGCTGAGTACGACAAGAAAATGATTGCAGTGGAGAAGCTTAACAACGCGCTGATCAGTAAAATTTCGAAACCGTGCCCTGGTTGTCAGAATCATGTGGAGAAGACTGGTGGTTGCAACCAGATGAAATGTGTGGTGTGCACCACTAGCTTTTGCTGGATTTGCTTGAAGGTTATCGATGATAGTGTCTTTCCGGAACACTTTCAGGTATTGCAATTATGGTGAATTTACTTACTACTTACAGTGGATACACGTTTGCGTCTCATGTTAACTGATGTATTCTAAATGTTGCTGGTGTTGCGTTTGCAGTGGTGGAATATCCGCGGCTGTGCAGGCAATCAAATGGCGGACATCGAGAGACAAGGTGCTGCCCAAAAAGGCTTTGGCGTGGTGACACGCGTGATGTTTTTTGTGATATTTGGGCCACCAGCATTTGTATTGGCTGTGACATTTTGCATTCTCGGCTGTTTCTTCTATCCGTGCACAGCGAATTCTCGCCTTACGTTCCGACAAGCATTTACAACTTGTTTTTGTGCATCCGGGTACATTTTGCTTGCACCAGTTGTATTGGCATTAGGACTTGTGGTTCTTGGTGTCTTGATTGGTGGTGCAGTAGCTGGTGCAGCAATATTACTTTGTGTGTCGCCTCTTGTCGGTTTGGTACTACTCTTTCGGCGCAACTCACGGTGTCCGACATTTAATTGGCAGTCAAGCCCCCGCGGCTCTGACCACGTTGAAATAGCCATGACTGACAACGCTGAAGACGCACATGATCGATCATCGAGAGACCAAACATTCTTTCTTGTATCAAGTTGATCTCATTGAACACTAGTGCACGGTTCAAGCTTAGAATCAGTTATTTAATGTCAACTCTTATTTATACAGGCAATTGATTGATTCTCGTACGAATAGGTAAAATGGCTACATAGTTTGATTGGCAATGCCATTCAAAGGTCCGCGACCAGAGGAACGTAATAATGCATTGGTAACGCCCCTCTCAGCTGCAGCGCGTGACTTTTATAATGAAAAGCAGTCGAATGTCTATACGACACAAGCAAATGCCAGTATTCAGAGAGATCTGACGCGTCATACCTTAGAGCTCTTGCAATTGAAGTCAATGAAGTGGATACATTCTACTGCAAAGACAAATGCGTTTATTCTCTTAGACTTGGGTGCAGGCTCTGGATTAAGCACAAAAGCAGCCCAGGATTGGTTGAACGAACAAGAAATGATGACAGCTTTTACATTGGCCTTTGACATTAGTGCATCCATGCTCGCTCTCGCTTCAGAAGAAGAAAAACATTGGGCGTATGAAGCTCAAGCATGTGCTGACTTTTATTGTGGAAATGCAGCACAAAAACTGCCAATTCGCGACGGTGTTCTTGATGCTGCAATTGGAATATCTATGCTGCAATGGCTGCAGCCAAAGGGACTGGAAATTTGCTTTTCATCGCTGGTAAAACAGCTTTCCAGTTGTCACGATACTCGTGCGGTTTTTCAGGTTTATCCGTCAAGCTTAGAGTACGTGAATATAATGGAGAAGACTGCGTTGCGTGTGGGATTTCATCGTGCAGAACTGTTCGTGTCGTTTCCTCATACGACGACGGCAAAAAAGTGGTTTTTGTCTTTGGATAAGATGAAGAGCGTGGCAGGTAAGGGTAAAGAAAATCGAAACATCGAGAAGAAGCAGGATGAGCTGTGTCTGTTTGCTAGACGATATGAGCGACGCTGTGTCCTGCAATGGCTTGGAAAGGAGAGTAAGTATATGAACGAAATTCGAGCGCGAGTCGAGAAAGAGCATGTGAAAACAGCATGGCACATCTGGCGGAAATATCGACGTGCAATGCTGGATGATGAAACTTCAGCTACGCCATTAATAAAGCAGGTTTTGCATACAAAAGCTCAGCAATCGCGTGAGCTATACCCAAGTGACAAAGCCATTGGTCGGGCAATGCAGGTACAATTTGAAGAAAGAGCAGGGAGAATCACACTTGCTTTTCTGCTGCAACATACAGCAGAAGTTGTCGACGTGTTACACATAGCTTATACGAAGTCTACAAAGGCAGAACAAACAAGTTAGCACAGATTCAAACAAGGATAGAGAACTTTGGCTGATATACATTATGATCATTCATTTCATTCGAGAAACTTGATATCATAGACCAACAATCATTAGCAAGTTTCCAAGCACGTCAAGCAAACTGCATAGAACCTTGATATAAAATACATTGTGGAGCAGATAGTTTACGTACTTTACCTAGGTTCGTAATTTATTTTTAACAGAAGTTTTGTATACGATTTCTACGAATCAAAAGAGGGCATTATTTGACTACCAGCAAAACAAATGCTTATCAATGGACCAACAGAGTGGAGCAAGGCGTGGTTTGCGACGGGCATTAAGACCAATCTGTTACATAATGGTGCATCCATTTCGTCTTGATTATGCTGGGAAGATTTAACTGATCAGCTTTGTATTTACAGGATTCAACTCGAAGCTGCAAGCTTCAGCAATGACGCTTGGCCCGAGAGTTGTCATCATGCAATTCAAAGATACTGATACTAGCATGAGTTCTAGGGAATGTGTCTTAGACCAACCAATTGAGACTTTGGTCATTCATGGAGACAATATGAACAATGTGAGGTCTGAAATCTATATGTGGAAGAAATTGTTTTGGTGTCAACTCACTGTCATTGACTCTTATGGCTAGGATGATGTATCGTTACGGTATCGGCTTGTTGCTTGGTCTGAAGGATCAAAAACGAAAAGCCTGCTGGCGATTGCTTCATCAAATCAAGTCGAAATATGGGAGGTTATTGTGACAAGGTAAGGTGTTTGATGTAATCATCAGGTTACTTCTACTTTCTTACGGTAGTCTCTTGTGGTTTGTCACTCGTGCAGTGGTATCTCTGTAATTTTGAAGGGCTGTGTGGACATCTATGATCTGCAAGGAATATCTTGGAGCCCCTGTAATGACGTTTTGCTCGTAAGCAAAGGCAGAAACTGGGTTGTGGCATTACTTCTTCTAGTGGGTGAACTTACGAATTTACGTAAATTTCTTTGTCATATGTTATAGGCCTTCTCCAAGACCGACATTATGTTGATTGATGCTTCACAAGTAGTATTATCGTGGCGTGAAGTTTACACAGATAGTGATAGCACGCGACGAGCATGGAGTGCGAATTCGTGGAGTCCTTGTGGATTACAAGTGTCAATGCACGTGAGTTCTTTGAGATTTGACTGACGTGAGGTTGTTCTCTTCTAATCAGTATATGCGTCGTGTTACAGAGCGCGACATGATGTCCTTCATTGTTTTTATTGGACAACTGTCGAATCCTTACTCTCGGAATCACCGCAACATGACCGAATAGATGCAAATTCTCACTTAAAAGGCATCCAGGATAGTGTCGGTCCAATTTCTGCTGTTGCCCGTGTGTCTCCAACTGTTTGCATTCTTACGACGGACACAAGATTGGTTCTGGGAGACATCACGCGTGCGGGCTTCGCGATTGCGTCTGAAAGTATAAAACCCGATTCAAGTGGGACAGGGACTGTATCGAGCTTGTTTGTACGACCGGCAAGATCATATTGTCAAGATGTCCAAGAGTACGGGTTGACTTCGTCTAGCGATATCATTGATTTGACTTCTATGCGCGTTTCGACCAGTTCTGTACAAAATCCGCTTCTTATTCTAAACCGCGTTGAGGTACATAGTCAGAAGACGTATGAAGTGCTGGAATTTGTTTGTCTAATATTATCTTCTTGCTGCTTCCTTTTTTGCAGGATACTACACCTCGCAAAAACGTGCCTCATGTAGAGCCCCGCTCGCACTTGCTGATTGTTGAATACAAAGATAGGAGGTGGAACATCAGTTCGATCCTCAATCTCCCGTATTTAACCACGCCTGACGTCCTCTTTGTCCAGGTTTGTCATATTCGCTGCGATTGAATTGCAACTTCGCATAGATGCTTACATCGTAAATGACGGAGGCAGGCGATGCGAGTCATTATTGGTAGCACCTTGTCCGCGCGTCTGCTTATTGTGCATATGGGTATTTCCGGTCGCTCGGAGTGGACAGCTTCGCTATCTGGTGAACTGGTGCGATATCACTATCGTCGTGTCGATAGTTGTGCAGCATTAAATCTCTATGTGTAATGATGTTGTTTGCATGCCGTCTAGGAGCTGCCACCCATGCACGTATGCAGAGGCCTTTACATTGCCAAGAAGTCCTCGTTTGTGAGCGTCGCCTCCACTGAGAAGCGCAAGCGCGGACCATTTTTCCATGCTGTTACAAACCTGGAACCATTACCAGTCTATCTGTCCAAGCTCAAGGTGCCATCGCATGCACGATTTGAACCTATTGTCAGAGATACTAGCGACATGCAGCAATCAACTGTACTTGCTGACAATAAGGCTACAAGCAGCCTCAATCAAAACAACTGCAATAGTGACGAGAACAAGGACCTGCTGAATCTAATTCTGGTGAAAGTAATGGCCATGCAGACTCAATTGAACACTCGCTTTGATACTGTGGATACAAAATTACTGCAGTTGACGGCTCGTGTTGAGCAATTGGAACGGAATGACCGAACACCTGATACATAATGGCATTGTTGAAGACAATAGATTCAGCTTACGTTAACTCAGCCATTCATTGGTAGCATAAAGAATGAAGGTCAAAGCAAAAAATCCTGTGATTCTCGATAATTCTTTGTGTGCACCTGGTGTGGTACAAAGAGCTCCGGCCCTCACCGTCAGAACTAAAACAGACACCAAGTGACCAAGAGACTAAGAAATCAGATACAAGAGACGTATTAACAGTATGGGCCGTTCTCGTTCTTCTCGTCCTGCCGCCCGCCCGGCCCCTCGTCGTGCCCCTGCACCTGCTCAGTCGCGTCGCGCTGCGCCTGCCCCTGCGCACGCTCAGGCTGCTCCCGCTCCAGCTCACCAGAGCAGCAGTGGTGGCGGGTTGATGAGCGGCCTCATGAGCACGGTGGCTCAAGGTATGGCCTTTGGTACTGGCAGCGCTGTCGCTCATCGTGCCGTGGGTGCCGTAGCTGGATCGTTTTCGGGAATCTCTGAGGCTCCGCAACAGCAGCAGAGCGCCTTGGCCTCACACGAAAACCAGGCCGCACAGCCGCCACAGGAGAATCAGTGCGGCGCTGACCAAAAGGCCTTCCTGGAGTGCCTGAATTCTAACAGCAACGACATAAGCTCGTGCCAGTTTTACCTTGACCAGTTCAAGCAGTGCCAGTTGAATCAGTCGAGCACTTTCATGTAGATGTGGGGCCTGGAATGAGCATTTGTCGGACAAAAGTGCAAGCTCAAGTCGTCATCGTTTTTTGTAACAGGGACGATGGCTCGGTGTCAGCCTCGGGTCTTTTTTTCTGTTCATCGCTAATGAGCTCGTGCTTGTATGGTAGATACAGTAGAAAGACGAGAGGAAAGACGAGAGATAGAGTAAGCACTAGACAAATGATTGACTTTTCATGCGCTTGAAGCACTATCGTTTATCTACACTTTGCATTCTCTTTAGCACACAAGTACACGATACTAAATGTGCAACTCAAAAGTGTTTTGCAATTGCCTCACTCCACAAACCACATAACGTTCGGTGCAAAGCTGTAATGGGCCGCTTTCCACAAGCAAAACGCAGACGCAATGCTATACTCGCAAAATGTGGCCACGAATCCTTTCAAGTCTTGCTGCTTCTTTTCTTGATACAAGAAAATGGCAACGACATCCTGCTAAATACTTGGCACATTTACAATGACATCATGAAACGTAGAAATCGCACAAAATGGTCTACTGTCGATTGAAGCGGTAGTATAGCATCGTATCAATACTTTATATACGACTGTCAATCTAGTAATCCTACTTATCAACAATTAAGACACAACGCGACACGTTCTTCCTGTTTGTCGATTACGAAATATCCTTACGATATACCCAATTTATGGGCTATTGTATCAAAAAATGACTACCACATATCCAAAAAACCTTAGACAAAAAATGAACCTCGATTGAACAGTCTCATTGTAAGAGGTATACGTCCACTCAAATCTTACGAACCGGAAGGGACGCTGTGCTCCACCAATTTGTGGGCTCTTTTCTCCTTTTCTCTTTCTCTACTCCCCCCCTTTTATCGGCTGACGTCCTTTAGAACGTGGTTGGCACCCACCATTTCCTCTTTTGGATCCAGCCCGAACGAGAGAACGAAAGTATACGCTTAGCCTTTTATTTTTTATACTCAAGTAGCAATTATGGTACGTCTGAAATTAAATACAAAACAAATTGATATAATAAACACATACTTATGCATATGCCTCTTTTCTTTGAAATAATGTTACTTCATCCTCTAGGTGAACTTCACAGTTGACCAGATGCGTGAGATCATGGACTATACGAAGAATATTCGTAATATGTCCGTCATTGCTCACGTTGATCACGGTAAATCCACATTGACGGACTCATTGGTGTCGAAAGCCGGTATCATCTCAGCAAAACATGCTGGTGAAGCCCGTTTTACCGACACACGTGCTGATGAGCAAGAACGTTGTATTACTATCAAGTCTACTGGTATTTCAATGTTTTTTGAATACGACATGGACGTTGGAGAGGCAGCTACTGCTGCTGCTATTGCCAAAGAGTCCAATGATGCGGCTGCCGCTGCTGCTGGAGGCGAGACAGAAGAAGTGCAGATTTCTAAGAATTCATACTTGATCAATCTGATTGATTCACCTGGTCACGTTGACTTTTCGTCGGAAGTAACGGCTGCTCTACGTGTAACGGACGGTGCTTTGGTTGTCGTTGATTGTATTGAAGGTGTTTGCGTGCAGACGGAGACAGTGTTGCGTCAATCAATTAGTGAACGCGTGAAGCCTGTACTCATGGTGAACAAAGTGGATCGTGCTTTACTTGAGCTACATCTTGAGCCTGAGGACTGCTACCAATCATTTACTCGTGCTATTGAGACGGTAAACGTAGTTATTGCCACTTATTTTGATGAAAAGCTGGGAGATGTTCAGGTGTATCCCGAGAAAGGCACGGTCGCCTTTGGTTCAGGTCTCCATCAGTGGGGTTTTACCCTGAAAAAGTTTGCTCGTCTATATTCAAAGAAGTTTGGTATTGCTGAAGACAAGATGATGCAGAAGCTGTGGGGTGACTGGTACTTTGATGCCACCAACAAGAAGTGGACGAGCAAAAACAACGCGGAGGGCTCTCTCAAGCGTGCTTTCTGTCAGTTTATCATGGATCCCATCATCAAGATGTTCGAGGCCATCATGAATGACAAGAAGGCCAAGTACGAGAAGATGATGAAGGCCGTGGGCGTTGAGCTCAAGTCGGACGAGAAGGAGCTTACAGGCAAACCCTTGCTGAAGCGTGTCATGCAGCGCTGGCTACCAGCTGCCGATGCTGTTCTTGAGATGATTGTGGTACATTTGCCGTCCCCTGTGACGGCCCAGAGGTACCGTGTTGACACTCTGTACGAAGGTCCGCAGGACGATGAGTGCGCTGAGGCTATTCGCAAGTGTGACGTCAATGGTCCTCTCGTCATGTACGTGTCCAAGATGGTGCCGACCTCGGACAAGGGTCGTTTCTATGCTTTTGGTCGTGTATTCGCGGGCAAGATCGCTACCGGTCAGAAAGTCCGCATGCTTGGTCCTAACTACGTGCCTGGCAAGAAGACTGACCTGTGGGTGAAGAACATCCAGCGTACGGTCATTATGATGGGTCGTTATGTTGAGCAGACGCCTGACATTCCAGCTGGTAACACGTGCGCCTTGGTTGGTGTTGACCAGTACTTGCTGAAGTCTGGTACGATTACCACATCTGAGACGGGTCACACGATCCGTACTATGAAGTTCTCCGTGTCACCTGTTGTGCGTGTGGCTGTTGAGCCCAAGACCGCTGCGGACCTGCCTAAGCTTGTGGAGGGTATGAAGCGTTTGTCGAAGTCTGACCCTATGGTTCTGTGTTACACGGAGGAGTCGGGTGAGCACATTATTGCTGGTGCCGGTGAGCTTCACCTCGAGATCTGTTTGAAGGATCTGCAGGAGGAGTTTATGGGCACGGAGGTAAAGATTTCGGAGCCTGTTGTGTCCTACCGTGAGACGATTACGGGCACTTCGTCGAAGACGTGTCTGTCCAAGTCGCCGAACAAGCACAACCGTCTGTTCTGCGAGGCTGGTCCTCTGAGCGATGAACTGACGCAAGAAATTGAGGAAGGAAAGGATGAAGTGAGCCCTCGCTTCGACCAAAAGCTGCGGGCTCGCTATCTGGCCGATAACCACGGCTGGGACGTGACGGACGCCCGTAAGATTTGGGGCTACGGTCCCGATGGCACAGGTGCAAACTTGTTTGTGGACGCCACCAAGGGTGTATCATATCTGAATGAAATTAAGGAGTCGGTGCTTGGCGGCTTTAACTGGGCCACCAAGGATGGTGTTCTATGCGAGGAAGTCGTGCGTGGTATGCGTGTGAACCTGCTGGATGTGGTGCTGCACGCTGATGCTATTCACCGTGGCATGGGCCAGATCTTACCTACCACTCGCCGTGTGGTGTACGCTTGTCAGCTGGTATCAGAGCCTGCTCTGATGGAGCCTGTCTTCCTTGCCGACATTCAGGTGCCTCAGGATGCTGTTGGCGGTGTCTATGGAGTGCTGACTCGTCGTCGTGGCCACGTGTTTGCTGAGGAGCAGCGCCCCGGTACTCCAATGATGCAGCTGAAGGCTTACTTGCCTGTTAACGAGTCATTTGGTTTCACGGCTGACCTGCGTCAAGCTACAGGTGGCAAGGCTTTCCCGCAATGTGTGTTTGACCACTACCAGGTTGTGAGCGGTGACCCGACTGACACGAACAACATGTCCGGCAAGCTGGTAAACGCTGTACGTATCCGCAAGGGTCTGTCCGCTGAGGTGCCACCTCTCGCCCGTTTCGACGACCGCTTGTAAGACGTCTATCTTGAGCAAAATCTTTTGGAGTGTGGTGCAGCTCGGTGTTCAAGATCGCGTGTAAGACTCACAAGTGTAGGTTTGTTCCGCAGCCCCTTTCTGACTCGATTCTAACCTCATCGTAAAATGGAGATGCCTCTACTTTATATCCACGTTGTTGCTCTTTCTTGAAGCACAAATACACTTTGTTACATTGTTTGCTTTGAAAGTTCCTTCATCATCATTCTCGATTACGATGCAATCTGATAACAAGAGTCATTGCATTACCGTTAACATCATTCGAGTCGTTCTAGATACAAAAAGACACAGTGGAAAGATCGTAGTTGAAGTTAGTGCACATTAGTTGGCCGAATCCTGCTCATTCTGCAATTTACACGCTTGTTGTATTAAATCGCCACCTTCATCAGCTTCTTCGTAACCTCCGCCATGTACCACCAGATGCTACGTCAATCTCTTCACGTCCAGGCAAGCGCCTTTGCTACGAAAGTAGTTGCACTCGCTCCCAAGCCGGTCATGCTTTCACGCTACTTCTCAGCCAAAAACGTTCCCGTGAAGCAGACCAATCTACTGATTAATGGCCAATTTGTGCCGTCAATCTCGGGCAAGACCTTCAAGACATTTAACCCTGCTACAGAAGAAAAGATTGCCGACGTCGCTGAGGCTGACAAAGCCGATATTGACGCTGCGGTGGCTGCTGCTCGCGCAGCATTCAACGGCCCGTGGCGCACCATGTCCGCTGCGGATCGTGGTCGTCTTATTTACAAGCTTGCCGACCTCATCGAAGAAAATATTGACGAGCTTGCTGCCCTCGAGGCGCTCGATAATGGCAAACCATGTGCTGAGGCTAAGACTGCTGATCTTGGTCTTGTGCTCAAGACTTACCGTTACTACGCTGGATGGGCCGACAAGATTCATGGCACCGTTATCCCAATTACGGGACCTTATTTTTGCTACAATAAGCCCGAACCTGTCGGTGTGTGCGCACAAATCATCCCGTGGAATTTTCCACTGTTGATGATGTCGTGGAAGCTTGGCCCAGCTCTTGCGGCTGGTAACACCATTGTGCTAAAACCTGCTGAGCAGACACCGCTATCTGCTCTCCGCGTCGGAGCACTCATTGTAGAGGCTGGGTTCCCTAAGGGTGTGATCAACATTATTTCGGGTGCGGGTGCTACTGCTGGCTGCCACCTCGCGCAGCATCCCGATGTCGACAAGGTCGCTTTCACAGGTTCCACTGAGGTTGGCTATCAGATCATGCGCACATCGCACGTGAGCAATATTAAGCGTGTCACGCTTGAGCTTGGTGGCAAGTCGGCCAATATCATCC